TCAGGCATGTTTCCAAAATATAAAATTCAGATTGTTGCATCTTAATTGTTTCCCAAGGATTCTGTGCATAGCAACAGTTACACATCCCTGAGTAAATGGCAGGTTCACTTTCTTTGAGACAATATTTACCCAGTCTAATCTCTCCACTTCCATCTACACTGCCTGACCTGCTATCTTCCTCTCTTTTTACCTTATATTTTGTCTGGTCCACATGCCTTACTCACTAACGTCCTTCTCTCCATTGTTCAGCCAATCTCTAAAAATCAGAACCCAAAAATTACAGAAAATTCTATTTCTCCAACTTTCACTAGTATCCTTATTGCTAGGCAAAGACCACAGTTTTTTAAATTACAGATTTTTTTTTTATTTTCTTCAGTATTTTCAAGGTGGGATGGAATGGATGGGACAGTAGAATTATCTGTGCCTCACTTCTCCCCTTGAAGGACACTATGAGATTGCCTGCCGTTTAATTAAAGCTTGTACTGCCAGAATGTAAATGCAAAATAGTCACACATAAAACATTTTGAGCTTCTGAGACAGGTTCTAAAAGGCACTGTTTGTAAGTATTTCTTACAAGCATACTTTGTTGCTGTCTTTCATGCCAAAGTCAGAAGTGAACTTGCTGAGTCCACCGGCTGCAGATTCCTCCACCGCCCCGGGACCATCCACTACGGATCTTATACTGTCTCTACACAGTACATATCCTGCTAGGGACGGACAGGCCAAACCAGGGATCTCTGGGGAAACAAACCTCAAAAAATAAACAAACAAAAAAATAAGTTGCTGTTGAGTCGACTCCAACCCCTGGAGACCCATGTGTGTCAGAGTAGAACTGCGCTCCATAGGGTTTTCGATGGCCAGTTTTTTTTTTTTGAGGGGCAGTAGATCACCAGGCCTTTCTCCTAAGATGCCTCCATCTAGATGGACTGGAACCTCTAACCTTTTGGTTAGCAGCCGAGTGTGTTAACTGTTTAACATAACCAGACACTCCAAATAATTTATTACCTCAGGTCCCTAAATTGTCTGAGGATCTGGAGGTCTCTCAGATCTGGATTGGGATTCTAGGTATTCTGTGCACGTGTGCAAGAGAGAGAAGAAAAATAAAAGCATTTTAGACTCTGAGTTGGTATATTAATAATAAACACTTATCATGCCTTTATTATATGGCAAGCACTATACTAAGTGCTATACATGAATTATTTCCTCTAATTCAGACCACAAGCTCAAATCCTGCTGCTGTCTCCCACTAGCTCTGTGACCTGAGGAAAGAGATTTTAACCTCTCTGAGCCTCCACTTCCTCATCTGTAAAAGGGGTATAATAAAAATGCTGACTCTCATAAGGCTGACTAGGAACTGGAGGAAATGATTTATGTACTGACCGTGGGGATTAAAGTGGTCCCAGACAATGCCGGGATGCTCTGGCATCTCTGTGCCCAGAGGATGGGGAGCAGACAATGGTAGAGAACTAAGATGTCTGATTGTGGAGAAGAAAATTCAAAGAAAGATTTAAAAAATCAATCTCCATCCCCTCTACATCAGTCCCAATGCCAACATGGAGGGAGAGAGGGACTACTGATTCAGCCAAGTCCAGAAACATGTTTTCTATTCTGTGTTGGTGCCTATAACCAACAAAGAGACACGTGGATAGACTGAGAATGCATGTCCAACACAGATGCCAACGTGGGAACATCCTGTGGGAAGGAGCTCCAGAACAGGAAGCACACACTTGGGTCCACACCCACGGGGCCACGCCATGCATGTCTAGCCACAGTTCCAGGACTGTGTGCAGTTCAAAGCTGAGCTTGGAGCACAGACCCATGAGCTCAAGTCCTGCCGCAATCTCTCACTAGCTCTATGATCTAGGGAAAGCGATTTTAACCTCTGCAAGCCTCTGTTTCCTCATCTGTAAAATGGGCATGATAAAAATGCTGACTTTCATAAGGTTGACTGGAAATTAAAGGAAAGAATCCACGTACAGTACTTAGCATAGTGTCTGTCATATAATAAAGGGCATAAGTATTGTTTATCACCATCATCATCATCACTATTGTTATTATCATTATAGCAATTCAGAGTCTTACATGCTTTTATTTCTCTTCTCTCTCTCTCGCACATACACACAGTACCTAAAATACAAACCAGAAATTCAAACAGCATTTAATTCTGAGAGAACAAAACGGACATGCACCTATGGGGAAACAAGAGGCACAGGAGGGACTTAAGAAATCACAAACAAATACTAAGTTTGTAAGAATCTGAGCGATTTACTTGCCTTTCTTTAAAAGTCATAAAGCCTGTGTGAACTGGAGGAGATTGATGATGAAGATAGTGAATAAGTAAATTTTAGAGTATGTTACAAGGAGATAAGTGCTATGGGAAAAAATCAGGATAAGGAGATTAGAAAGACCTGGTAGGGGGAGGGCAGGTGGAATCTGAAACAGAGTGGCCAGGAGAGGCCTCCGTGAAAAGGAGATTTTAAACAACGATCTGCAGGAGGTGAGGAGTAGGCACGGGCGTTCTCTGGGGTAAGAGTATTCCAGGCAGAGGGAACAGCCAGTGCAAAGGCCCACAGGTTAGCAGCAAATGAGGTGTGATAATGAGTTGTTGCCCCAGAGTTTGGTGCACTGAGCAGATCCCTCTGCTGTGGGGCTCTGGTCTGTACCACAAACCTTGAGTGACATGGTCTTTGGGGAACCGAGAAGGGGAGTGCTTGGTATCATCCATCTCCCCTGCTGGAAACAGTGCTCAAAATAGTACTCAAAACAGTATTTAAACGTTCATCGGGCAGAAACCCCCAGGCTCACTCTCTAACTGGTAGGAAAGCAGGGAGCTGGCCTCCTCAGCATTGTAGGGTCGAGGTAGTCACAAAGGTCAAGTTAGGGAAGGAATATAGAGTTCATTCAGGGCAACCTCCTCCAAAAGGAGGAGCAGAGCTCTCTGATGTTTGTGGTAGTCAAAAGCACAGACTTAGGAATCTGCATTCAAATCTCAGCTTTTCCACTTATGAGCTGTGAATAGGAACAAGCTGTCTAAACTCTCATCTATAATATATTAATTATGCCTACTGACAACCTGGTTGAGATTAAGGGGACATAATGTCATTAAAACCAGTTGCCACTGAGTCGATTCCAACTCATGGCAACCCTACGTGTGTCAGAGTAGAACTGTGCTCCATAGGGTTTTCAGTGGCTGATTTTTCAGAAGTAGATCACCAGGGCTTTCTTTTGAGGCACCTCTGGGTGGACTTGAACATCCAACTTTTTGTTTAGCAGCCGAGTGTATTAACCTTTTGTACCATCCAGAGGCGCCATAATGTCACTACTGACATTTTATTTAAAAGTGATCAAAACTGATGAGATTGAAAAGAAAATCAGTGACGTGAACATTTCCAGTATAAAGTCACCCCCCAACCCCTATGATGTGAAAGTCCCTCTGCTCCCTGCCCTCTGCTTCTCTTGCCTTCAGTCCCTCCCCATGGGGTACCATGGAGGTCTGGCAGCACCCTCCTGCTGTGGGCAGCCCCTCGGTGGGAGCTGTCTGCAATGTTGCAAGGCCAGGGTTTTAATTTCCCATTCCTAACTTAGTGTAATTCCATGAGCTGGGAAGCATCAACATTACCGTAACCATTATACTATTGAAGGAACTAAGAGTAAATGAAGTGATGTGATTGACATCACCAAGTTAGCTGAGCCAAAACCGTGATCAAAACTAGGCTCCTGTTTAATTTGGCAGAGGATTCATTTTGAAAATTAAATATTATGGAGACCCAGGAGAGGCAGAGAGAATAAGAGGGGAGGGGGAGAGGAAGGGAAGAGAGGTGAAGGGAGAGAGGGAAGTGGAAAGGCCGAAGGATCAAGAGAGGGGAAAGAAGAAGAGGGGAGGGTAAAGAAAGAGGAAGGGCTCCTCCGACAGTGCCCCCTCCCCTGTGGCAGCTTCCTGGAACCTAGTCTGAAACTCCTGGATTAGACTGTGCTACTTCCTAAGAGAGAGTGTTTGAGTGGTACAGTTAAGCTGATGGTTAAACAAATGGTTGCAAACCAAAAGGCTAGAGGTTTGTGTCTACCCAGAGGCATCTCGGAAGAAAGGTCTGGCAATCTACTTCCAAAAAAGCAGCCACTACAAACTCTATGGAACACATTTCTACTCTGACACATATGGGGTCACCATGAGTCAGAACTGACTCACAGGCCACTGGTTTTTGACTTCCTACGAGATGCAATGAAATATGTCCAGGGATAAGAGTGAACTGGCACTTATGCAATCTGAGAACCTCAAGAAATCTTTGGAATTCTACTATTTTGCTTTTTTTAAGGAAAAAAAATGTTATCTGGTTAAAGAACATTAAGAAAAGGAAATACTTGCTGTTGAAAGTTTATGATATCACTGGGCAGAGAAACAATCTAAATTACAGTCAAGAGAACTGCAATTTAATCTCATTTTTTGTCATAACTCAATATAGAAAGGCCTAAGAATAGACTACAGCACATTCTATATTTTTTTGGGTGGCACAGAGGGATACAAGGGCACAAGATGATCTCCCATGACACCCGACTGACCGATAATAACTGTGGCCAGAGGTCTGGGTGCTGAGGTGCCTCTAAGGCCACCCTATGCTGAGGTCTGTGTGTAAAAGTTCACTTAGCTAGCAGGGAGGGGAATACAGACAAGCTTAGAAACACAAGGGAAGGGAAAGAAAGAAGTGGGGGACACCAGGCTGAACCTCTAAAACATCCCCATGGCAGGGTGGATGAGAGGTCACATAAGCTCAGCAGAGGCACCATCGTCAGCACAGGTGTTGTAAACAGCTGAGTCCTATTGCAGGTTTACTCGGAATGTGGGAATCTTCTGGAAATTGTTACAGGCATTGTCTTGAGAGCTTCTTACTCAGGGAATGGCTTTGACTCAATATCTCATTTTACTTCTTCTTCCACTGGGTGTACTTTTGTTACAGGAAAAACTCGGGGCCGAATCTAGCGGGTTCATTTTGGCAGAGCCTTACCTTCATATCTGCTAGGAGAATCACACGCTTTCTGTGGGGTCGCCACTCGGAGAAAGATCTGCTGCCTCCACGAATGTCTTCGTGTCTTCACAGGGGTCCCACTGGCATCGCCTGGGTGGTTTGCTTTGGTTTCAAAGTCCCTAAAATTACAGGATAAATGACTTGTGACTGGTGGAGACACATCACTGGGTTGGTTTGGTTGGTTTTTGTTTTTGTTTTAAACAAAGCACTAAATTATAAATGTTTCTTGTATAAACAAACATAATTAATCACTAGATTTAAGTCAAGTTCACAGTGGGTCAACACCCCGGAAGGACTGCTTCTACTATGAAGGACAGAGAACTGTGGGCCACAGACCACTCGCTTCCAATGAGGCCTCTCCTGGGGCCACTTTAGGGAACAGGAACTACTTAAAGGGGGCGCTGTCACCGGGGTCTAGTCTGCACTAGTCTGCGTGTGGGAATATTTCCTCAACATAGGCCTACATCGCCATGGTTTGCCACCCAACAGTGAGGAAGATTCCTGGTCAATTACACGGAGCCATCAAGGAAGGCAACAGTCACGTGGTCACTTGCCGATGAGGATTGTTACCATTCGTATTTTAAAAGAGACAAAACAAAGTATCTACGTCCGTGTGTGTGTGTGTGTGTGTGCGCGCGCGTGTGCGCGTGTGTGCGCATGTGTGTGCGTAACACGACAAAACGAAGTATATATACATATACATATATCTAGTATATACATATACAATCTAATTATTCATTTTCTTCCTGTGCACAGGCCAACTTGGGGAAGTCCTTGTAATTCACACCTGACTATATATACACAATTAAGCAATCTCCTGAACTTAAAGGTCAGACATCCTGACTTACTTATGACAGCCACATGCTCACTATCCAGAAGCACTGCTACCACTTCGGAGATCTGGTTAAGACTTTCCTTAGTCTTCTGAAGATAACAATACCACGTTAATTAACTAATCCTTGTCAAAACTGAAGAGGCAGACTACACAATTTTAAATGACACCCAGTAAGAAAAAATTATAAGAAAGAAGATACAACAGACTTAGGTAAAATGATTTTTAAAGTGGCAACAGAACAGCTAAAAAAAATCCCTGTATTATCTATCAATAATTCAACACTTACAATGCCTAGGCTTAATATATCTAAATTAAGCCCTACCTTTTCGTGTTCATAAAGTCAGAGGTGTTATTTTCATCTACAGGAGCCAGAAATTTTAGAAAATTTGGCACAGAGGAAGAAGAATGAAGTTTTTTCCGCAGGGCATTACGGTAGGAGATGCTGAGAGTATGGTTGAAAAAAGAGTTTAGGATAAAGAAATATAAACACACAAAGTATAAAATATAAACTACAAAATAAAGAACATTTTAGTTCTAACGCTAAGAACTAAACTGGAAATAGTTTATAAATGAGATTTAACTTTCGTGTTCAGTCAATAAAATTCTATTTTAAATTAATGGAATCAATGAATTAATTTAAAAAACAAAAACATCAGTCTATCTTTCAAATCACTCTTCCTTTTAACCAGAAATAATTTCCCTATGTTAATCAGGAAGTTTCTGATATGGCACAAATTCCAATGTATATGGCACAAGCACCAATTGCCATGGAGTCGATTCCAACTCATGGCGACCCCATGTGTGTCAGAGTAGAACTGTGCTCCCACAGGTTTTCAATGGCTGATTTTTCAGAAGTAGATCTCTAGGCCTTTCTTCCAGAACACTTCTGGGTGGACTCCAACCTCCATCCTTTTGGTTAGTAACCGAGCATGTTAACCGTTTGCACCACCCAGAGACCTCCATGATCAAACACAGTTGTTGTTAACCTGTGAGTGGATGTGTGGAGGCAAGGGAACGTAAAAAAAGTATAGAGAAATAGCCCGTCATCAAGACTTGTTCTCATAATACTTTTGAGAAAAATTACTTGTAAAATTAAGTCAGCTCAATGACAAACTGAAAATAATAAAAGCAAAAACAAACACACACAAACGCACACGCATGAACAGTGGTTCCAGCTTCTCTGCATGGACTCTCCCTCCATTCAGCACATCCTCTCTGGTGTAAACTTCCGGCAAGACAAACGACAGTGAACTTGCCATGCAGTGTGCTCACCTCTTTGGCACAGCATTCCCACTTTGTTCTCCACTTGAGTTATGTTTTAGGTACTTAAAAAAATTTGGCGAGGAGGCGGAGGGATTAAGGCGAGGTGGAGGAGCAGGAGATGAAGACTGACCTGAGCCACTTTTAGACTCGCCAGCAGCTGGATGATTCACACTAGATAGCAATTCGAGAGAAAGCACGGAGGATTAGAGGGGAAAAGAGAAAGGGGAGAAACGCTGAGGGGTAAACCTGGAGGGAAGAGAAGGAAAATGGGCACAACTGCTTTTGTCTCGTTATTTCAATACAAACTATCAGAGTTAGAGAATTTCTTTTTACTTCTCTTCCACATCCCAACCGTCTCGCTGGCAAAGGTAAGCTTTCAGCAGAAAGGAGAGTAGATGAAAGGTTGTTATTATTTCCCACATGTCTATGCTCCTAATAGTACTTTTTCCTCTACGGGTAGTCCGACTTATGACAAGTTTTCGTTCCAATGACTCTTTCCTAAGTCAGTTCTGACGTAAGTCAAATACTTCATTTTTTTTTTTTTTTTAAGTTTTCATTATTATTGCCTTTTATTATCAGTACCCTTATAAAGCCAATCTTTATTTGTCTTTGGGGGTTGGAAACATTACATAAAAACTTACAGGTATATTTTAACATTGTATGTAGTACATATTACTAACAATAATATGAACCAAAAAAAAAAGACAGTGTAGTGCAGTTTGTTGAAACTCTACTACGTCCTAAGTCGGGGACTACCTGTACTCCCTTTTTAAGACATGACAGGAAAAATAAAAAATAAACAAAAACAAAAGAAAATCCAGAGACTTTAGAATGCATCACTCTCTTTGAAATGAACATCCTGCCCTGAGTTTCAATGTCTTGTTTCCTGTAGGTAAACAAAAAAAGATTTACAGTTGGGAGGAAAGAAAAATGGACCATTCATATAAGAGAGACAGACAGACAAGACATTTCTCTACCCTCTCATCACCTATGTCCGGCATGATCCATTATGAAGCTGCATTCTTAGGGAAAAAGGGAAATGGATTAGCAGGAATACTAATTCCCTACCACCTCTGGCTTGTGTGAAACAGCAGACCTGGCAAGAGAACTAGTACTCTCCAAAAAGGAATGTTTCCACAATCTCTGGAAATGCCAGCAATAGGAGTGGGAACAGTGGCGTCACTAGAGATGGTGTCACTCAGTGCAGTAACTCATGGTGTCACCCCTCCCCCCATGGATCTCCTCCTGTTCCAAACCACAGAATCCTTAGTAATGTTTTTTGTACTAATGTTACTTGTAAATCATAATTCCTGTATATCACTTTCTTTTCCTTTAATTACCATGTCATTCTCAAAAAAGTTATTGATACAGGTTTACAAAGGCTAATTACCACAATATTGTAGCTAAAATACCAGAAAATTTGACAAAACCAGCAACTATAAAAACACCAGCAGCAATGAAAATAACAGCACATGCTTGTAACATGTGCAGATGAAACCATGTGATTCAAAAAATCATTGTAATTGGGTAATAATGACAGCTCTGACGGGAGCACATTAGAAGGTTCGAAAAGTAAATTAGCATAGAGGTTTAGCCTTGCAGGCATATTGATACATGTAAGATGGGTTTATGAACAACATTTTTGTCGTTATAACTAACTACAGGGATATTTTTATAAAAAATAATAAATTTATGCCAAAACACGGCTCAAAAATTTTATAGACAGTCATTTTATGTTATGTCATTTATGTTACGCAGTAGTAAAGCAAAATAGAAGTAGCTTTAATACAGGGTCTTAGGAAACATAAGAACCTCATAAAACTTCAGCCGAACTATGCTTGTCTCTGAAATGTCATACTTATCAAATGTTAGCTTCTGAACTAAGTCCTGCTTTTGTGATCATAGTTATCCAGCCAAATCCCAAAGAACCATCAGTAAACTACTTTCAGTGGCTGATGGAAGACAAAGCCCAGAGGCTCTAGTACATCTTCCCAGGACTGTTAATAATTGCCGTATCTTCACTCAAAACACTTCAAACACCTCTACACAGACTCTCCACTACCCATGTATGAACTTCACGGACACGTATGTCTGGTGGTTTCCAGTGACTGTACATAGGTGTAGCCCTAACTCATGTTGCTGGGTAAGGTGGGGGATTTTCAAGAGTTTTTAAAGTTATTTTTAAAGATAATTGTGTGTCGATTTGCAGTCTCTGGAACTTATCATGGCCAAATTGCCATGATGCCTAGGAGGAACAGGGACAACTTCTGCCACTGTATTGCTTACCCATCTCTATAACCAGAAAATTCTAACTGCTTTTTAGACCACGACAACTTCTTGTTAGAAGAATCCAGAATTCTTCATACTGGGAGAGACTTTAGGAAACACCTACTTCAATATTGTCAAATAGAGAAGGTAAGCAAATTTGCCCCGGTTGCCACTAGTTCATGACAAAGCTGGGTCCAGAACCCAAGGTCACTGAGTCTATTACAGGCGTCCATGTCACTGTGTATCCTGAATGCCTCTCATGCTCTGTTGGGCACGGTCATTGCACCTGCATCTTATAGCAGGTCTGTTCCACATTTTCTAAAGAACAGACTATAGTCTTCTCACCACGTCAATACCTCTCCTCAAAGCCAGCAGCTAGGTTCCAAAGCCAATAATGCCTCCTGTATTGTTTGAGGGATAAATATTATACATTTTAAGTACATTTTTGCTCACTTTTACCTGTTTCCTCATAGTATTTGTACTTGGTACTTGTACTTGTTACTTGTAAGTACAAGTCTTGTAAGTAACAAGTCTCTCTTACATCTACATGGGAAGGGACATGTCACTGCTCCCAGTAAAACCTGCCTCAGGTTTCTCTTTCACCCAACAAACATACTTGGGATGCACATACCTGGTTAGTCACAGATATGCCCCAGCTATTTATACAACACATTAACATTTTGAACAAATCTTACTTTCGTTCGTGAGGTGTCTCTGTGCTCACTGAGTGATACCTCGTAAGTTTCCTTTGCGAGACCCCTGGAGACACCTCAGCAGGTTCCAGAGGCTCCTGACTTTCCATGGGTAAATGGCTCAGGGTGTTGGCTCGCCTTCGGAAGCCCTGCTGGGGTGAGAGCTGAGCAGGCTCTTCAAGGAGACGGCTCTCCGAGTCACTGGAGAGGTCATCCGAGGAGCCGAGCATCTTGAAGGAGTTCTCAGACACGGGCAAGGCCTCCTTCTCACACACAGATGGCTCCTGGCAGCAAACAGATAGCAGGTCAGACATACCATAGTGGAAATTAGAGGATTTCCACATCTCTAATCCCAGGAGACTTGTAGCACAACGGTTAAGGGTTTGGCTGCTAACCCAAAGGTCAGTGGTTCATACCCACCAGCAGCTCTGAGAGAAAAAAGACCTGGCAATCTGCTCCCATAAAGATTCACATCACAGCCTAGGAAATACTATGCGGCAGTTCTACTCTGTTCTATGGCATCACTGAGTCAGAATCCACTCAATGGCACACAACAAAAAAACAACCACCCCAGTGCAGGAAAACATTTCAGTCTGTAAACGCTTCTGATTCTCCTTCTGATTACAACAATGCTATTTAGGGGCCACCAAAAACACAAGGAAATGAAAGACCATTAAAAGCCTAACTGTCAAAAACAAGATGCAAGTTTGCTGGATAAATTAAAAAAAAACTACACAAATGCAAGTGTGAAAGACATTAGTCATAGTATACAACTGTTCTAAACACAACCATAAAGAATTCCCTCTCTCTAGAAATTAAACTCTTTAGTACTGCTTATAAAAACCAGTTGCTTTTGAGTCAACTCCAACTCATGTGTCAGAGCAGAACTGTGCTCCACAGGGTTGTCAATTTTTCAGAAGTAGATCACCGAAGCACCTCTGCGGGGATTCAAACCTCCAATCTTACAGTTAGTAACCAAGCATATTAACTGTTTGCCCTGTACTGCTTTTTAACTGGTCTCCACTGTTTAAACAAACCAAGAAGTTTTTTTCTCTCTCCAAAGTACGCTCATAGATTTTATACCCATTTTATAACCATTTTAAGGCTCTCTGAATTTGATCTAACTTGGTAAACTTGAGGTTAAAACTATATCCCATACTATACTCTTAGAATATGGGAAATCTCTTTCTAGGTACTTACTGCCTTCAGCTCGGGGCAAATCACATAACTTCTTTCTGCATCTCAATTTCCTCATCTATAAAAGGTATATTTGATGTTGTTAGGTGCTGTTGAGTCGGTTCCAACTCATAGCGACCCTATGTACAAAAGAATAAAACATTGCCAGGTCTTGTGCCATTCTCACAACCATTGGTATGTTTGAGCCCATTGTTGCAGCCACTGCGTCAATCCGTCAACGGTTTTCCTCTTTTTCGCTGACCCTCTACCTTACCAAGCATGATGTCCTTTTCCAGGGACTGGTCCCTTCTGATAACATGTCCAAAGTACGTGAGATGAAGTCTCACCATCCTCACTTCTAAGAAGCATTCTGGCTGTACTTCTTCCAAGGCAGATTTGTTTGTTCTTCTGACAGTCCATAGTACATTCAATACTCTTCACCAATACACTATAATTCAAAGGCATCAGTTCCTCTTCAATCTTCCTTATTCATTATCCAATTTTTGCATGTATAGGAAGCCATTGAAAACACTATAGCTTGGGTCAGGCATACACTAGTCCTCAAAGTGATATCTTTGCTTTTTTACACTTTAAAGAGGTCTTTTGCAGCAGATTTGCCCAACTCAATATGTCGTTTCATTTCTTGACCACCGCTTCCACGGACGTCGATTACAGATCCAAGTGAAATGAAATCCTTGACATCTTCAATATTTTCTCCATTTATCATGATGCTGCTTATTAGTCCAGTTTTGAGGATTTTTGTTTTCTTTATGTTGAGCTTTAATCCATACTGAAGGCTGTAGTCTTTGATCTTCATCAGTAAGTGCTTCAAGTCCTCTTCACTTTCAGCAAGGTTTTGTCATCTGCATGCTGCAGGTTGTTAATGAGTCTTCCTCCAATCTTGATGCCGTATTCTTCTTCATATAATCCAGTTTCTCAGATTATTTGCTCAGCATACAGCTTGAATAGGTATGGTGAAAGGATACAACCCTGACACACACCTTTGACTTCAAACCATGCAGTTTCCCCTTGTTCTGTTCAAATGAATGCCTCATGGTCTATGCACAGGTTCCTCATGAGCACAATTAAGTGTTCTGGAATTCCCATTCTTCCCATGTTATCCATAATTTGTTATGATCCACACAGTCATTTGACTTTACATAGTCAACAAAGCACAGGTATGCATCCTTCTGGTATTCTCTGCTTTCAGCCATAATCCATCCAACATCAGCATTTATATCCCTCATTCCATGTCCTCTTCTGAATCCAGTTTGAATTTCTGGCAGTTCCCTGTCAATGTATTGCCGCAACCACTTTTGAATGATCTTCAGCAAAATTTTACTTGCATGTGGTATTAATGATATTGTTCGATAATTCCTCCATTCTGTTGGGTCACCTTTCTTTGGAGTGGGTGCAAATATGGATCTCTTCCAGTAAGCTGGCCAGGTAGCTGTCTTCCAAATTTCTTGGCATAGAAGAGTGAGTGCTTCCAGCGTTGCCTCCATTTGTTTAAACACCACGATTGGTATTCCATCAATTCCTGGAATCTTGTTTTTCGCCAATGTCTTCACTGCAGCTTAGACTTCTTCCTTCAACACCACTGGTTCTTGATCATATGCAACCTTCTGAAATGGCTGAACATTGATGAAATCTTTTTGGTACAGTGACTGTGTATTCCTTCCATCTTCTTTTGATGCTTCCTGTATCGTTCATTATTTTGCCCATAGAATCCTTCAATAATGCAACTCAACGCTTGAATTTTTTTCTTCAGTTCTTTCAGCTCGAGAAATGCCAAGCGTGTTCTTCCCTTTTGGTTTTCTAACTCCAAGACTTTGCACATTTCATTATAATACTTTGTCTTCTAGAGCCACCCTTTGAAATCTTCTGTTCAGCTCTTTTACTTCATCATTTCTTCCTTTCGCTATAGCTACTCAACATTCAAGAGTAAGTTTCAGAGTCTCTTCTGACATCCATTTTGGTCTTTTCTTTCTTCTCAACGACCTTTTGTTTTCTTCTTGTATGATATCCTTGACGTCATCCCACAACTCATCTGGTCTTCGGTCATTAGTGTTCAGTGTGTCAAGACGGTCTCCAACTTCAGGCGGTATACACTCAAGGTCATATTTTGGCTCTCATGGACTTGTTTTAATTTTCTTTAGCTTAAACTCGAACTTGCATATGAGCAATTGATAGTCTGTTCCACAGTTGGCACCTGGCCTTATTATGACTGATGATATTGAGCTTTTCCATCATTTCTTTCCACAGGTATAGTTGATCTGATTCCTGTGTATCCCATCTGGCAAGGACCACATGCACGATTGATGTTTATTCTGTTGAAAAAAGGTATTTGCAACGAAGAAGTCATTGGTCTTGCAAAATTCTACCACACAATCTCCTGCGTCATTTCTATCACTGAGGCCATATTTTCCAACTACTGATCCTTCATCTTTGTTTCCAACTTGCACATTCCAATCACCAGTAATTATCAATGCATCTTAATTGCATATGTGATCAATTTTGGATTGCGGAAGTCGGTAAAAATCTTCAATTTCTTCATCTTTGGCTTTAGTAGTTGGTGTATAAATTTGAATAATAGTTGTATTAACTGGTCTTTCTTGTAGGTATATGGATATCATCCCATCACTGACAGTGTTGTACTTTAGGATAGATCTTGAAATGTTCTTTTTGACAATGAAGGCAATGCCATTCCTCTTCGATTTGTCATTCTCGGCATGGTAGACTATATGATTGATTCAAAATGACCAATACCAGTCTCTTTCACCTCACTAATGCCTAGGATATCGATCTTTATGCATTCCATTTCATTTCTGATGACTTGCAATTTTCCTAGATTCATACTTTGTACACTCCACATTCCAAATATTAACAGACGTTTGCAACCATTTCTTCTCATTTTGAGTTGCGCCACATCAGTAAATGAAGGTCCTGAAAGCTTTACTCCATCCATACGTCATTAAGGTCATTTCTACTTTGAGGAGGCAGCTCTTCCCCAGTGATATTATGAGTGCCTTCCAGCCTGAGGGGTTCATCTTCCGGCACTATATCAGACAATGTTACATTGCTATTCATAAGGTTTTCACTGGCCAATTTTTTTAGAAGTAGATTGCCAGGTCCTTCTTCCTAGTCTGTCTTAGTCTGGAAGCTCTGCTGAAACCTGTCCACCATGGGTGACCCTGCTGGTATTTGAAATAACAGTGGTATAGCTTCCAGCATCACAGCAACATGCAAGCCGCCACAGTAGGACAAACTGATGAGTGGTGGAAAAAGTATATAGTGAAAGTTTATCTCACCGGATTTTAAGGATTAAGCAAGATAATACAACTGAAAGTACTTTGTACACTGTAAAATGCTATACAAATATAAGTTACTGTTTTTATCAGGTACTCAATGATTATTGAGTGGGCACTCAAATATTTGTGGAGAATAACTATTTTAATACTGTACGGTTTCAAGAAACTTTGTTTCAAAATAATGAATGATTACTATCACTCTTGCAAACTGATGCTTAGCACTGCACCTAGCACACAGTTAGTGGTCAATATTATTTTTCTTAAAAAAATACATATATAAAATAAGGGGAATGGCACCAGCTTGTCTGTACCGAAAATGCTAGAAGGGGTAAATAAATCAACATGCACAGAGTAAAAAGGAATAAATGTACTCAGTGAAGGACTGGAGAGTCTAAATTTCATCTATTCAGTCAATAAATAGTTGAGTGTCTTTTAGGTACTGAGGATTTTAATTTTAAGAAATTAAATTTATGTTTACTTAAAAGAAGAAGTTATATACATTTAATTTTGTAGGAATTAGATAGGAAAAGCTCAATTTCCAACATACTGTGAAATGTTAATTACTTTAAACATAACTGAAATTTTTCTTTTTCAGGAGTTTATGGTCCCAAAGATCCTTTTAATTCAAGGATTTAAAAAATTTGTCTGAGACAATATATCACAGCAAACAATCCTCATTCTGCAAATCCGTTATCTTATTTCTCATTAATTTCTCTCCAAACTATATGAAAGTGCTAACCCTTAGCTTAATTGGTTAACTGAAAGGGCCACTCAGATGTTCAGCTTCCTTGCAACTTCTAGATGATCGATTTATTAGAAGAGATACTATTACATAAAATAGCATTTCTTTTCAATAGTTTCTGAATCTTCAGGATTATAAAAGGAAAGATAGTAAAAAAGTATACATAAAGATACACACCATAGTTCACACAGATGGCTTCTCAAAAGCTGTATTTCTTTTAGAATTACCTTCAAAACTCAAGATGTGTGTATATTCCTAGATTTGTGGCTTGGAAAAAAATTTTCTATGTTTACTGAAAAAGTCACATGTATGACATGAATTTCTTCACGGTGTCTTTATTTACACTGATCTATCTGGAATGTCTTCTTCCCTGCCTAATTCCACAGGTACAATTCCTTCATTTATCAAGACTCAACTCAAAAGCATCATTCTCCCCTCATCAAAGATTTCCAGGTTCCAACTGCCCCAAAATACTCTCCTTTCCCTTGCCTCTCTGACCTCTAAGTTACCACCTATCTCTTATTTTTAACCCTCTCAGCTCCTACCATATTGTACTTGATGCCTGCCCTACGAGATAAACCTCTACAGTGCAGAGGCTCTGTCTCATTCTTCTGTATATAACAGATATAGCATAACATTTTCAAATTTGAAATGAATTACAGAGTTGAATCAATGTGCAGTAGATGGAAGGATGGATAATGCTATGTTCCACTAGATTTGAGCTTAGAAGATCACATTCATAAGACTGATATCTGGGGCCTTGCTGCCCAAAATGGGTCTGCAGATCAGTATCATCAGCATCATCTTGGAGGAACTTGTTAGAAATGGAGCATTTCCTGCTTCACCCCAGGCCTACTAAAACAGAATCTGCATTTTAACCTTTTAAAGATGTACATTAAAATTTGAGAGACAAGTTGCCATCAAAATCAACTTCAACTCACGAGGGCCCTGTTTGTGTCAGAGTAGAACTGCACACTATAGGGTTTTCAGTGACTGATTTTTTTTAAGTAGATCACTAAGTCTTTCTTCCAAGGCACCTCTGGGTAGACTCAAACCTCCAATCTTTTGTTTGGTTAGCGGTCCAGCATGTTAACTGTTTGCACAATCCAGGACTCCGAAATCTGAGAAGCACTCATCTAAGGCAGTGTTTCTCAAACTGCAGTTTATAACCCAATTTAGTAGGTAGTGAAGCCAATTTAATGGCTTGCCATGAGCTTTTTAAAATAAAACAGAAAATACCAGTGTGTATCACGTTTTTACAGTTAATATTGTTTTATGACATTTTTATCCTAATTTCATGTGTTTACGTCAATATGTATGTGTGTGTTAACTATTATCACAATGTTAAATGTGTTTCTTACTATTGGTCTGAAAACTTTGAAAGCCACATGTCTAGGAGTGATCTCAGAAGAACTTAAACAGATCCTTTGGTATGGCGCTTGCCTCCACAAAAACCCTCTCACTCTTAACATCAGACAGTGCTCTGATAGCAGAAGGGAAAGCTGAACTTCCAGCACAAAACCCCAAACCAACTTCTTGGTAGTTAAAAGGTAAAACTAACCAGATTTAAGTATGCTCAAATATCTAGAAAGCAAAGTTAAAAAAAAAGACAAGGGCATAGACACTGACTTGTTACCAAAGACCAAAAAGAACTGTTAGCTTTTTTCTTACTCATTATCACAAACTGTGCTTGGCAGCAGACACTAGGGGTGAAGCCTGGTTGCTTATTTACAAAAACAGTGATGTTACTTATGATCTTAGAGCCAGTTAGTGGTAAAGTTTCAGGAAGTTAAGTCCATACTTCTCTGAATGCATAAGCCCACTTTTGAGGTTTTTCCAATTTTAATTATTTTTAACACTAGAAAATCTGCTTGAGAAAAAAAAAAAATCCATTGGCTACTCTGTGATAAATTACATTCTAGTTATCTAAAGTAGTGATCTTGATTCTTTGTTTATGGAAAGGCCATCTGCTTTGTTATGTACAACTTCTAGGTGATGGTAGAACTCCCTGATCGACCCCCTGCCCCTGCCAAGAAGTCTCGAAGTACCAAACTTTTCATGATTAGAGGTATTAGGCTTCTTTTGTTCCTTCTGATAGGGCCCTGTAGGTAGGAGATACCAAAAACCAAACCAAACCCAGTGCCATTGAGTCGATTTCACTGCATAGCGACCCTACAGGACACAGTAGAACTGCCCCATAGGGTTTCCAAGGAGCAGCTGGTAGATTTGAACTGTCGACTTTTTGGTTAGCAGCCAAGCTCTTAACCACTGTGCCACCAGGGCTCCAAAAGGAGATAAGCAAGGTCTATTTGCTGCTTTCTTCAGAATGTCAAATAAAGAGAAATGTGCTTACTTTGCTGGTGTTACTTAACGTGCTAGACATGGAGCTGTCCAGATCCACACTCAGGGAATGTTCCTGTAGGCCTTTGGCTTTATTACCCTACATAAAGAAAAGGCAGTCGGAGTTATGACCTCTGAGGCTTTCTTTCACAAAGGCATGAGCTAGACACAGGTTGGTCTCTTTCAATAAGTTCAGGAAAAATGCATCTACTGAGAAATGCTGCTGAGCATATATGTACATTAAGACAATCAACATTTCTGTCATCTTTTTTTTTCTTTAAATAATACACCAAACAAAATGTTCCGAAACACCGTATGTATTTAGTCATTTGGAGGGAATGATAAGCAGGAAGAAAAGACAATTCATCTATGAAGAAAAGCAAGTGCTAAAGTAAGCCCACTCAACACCTCTGTGCCCTGAGTCAAAAATCATCTGAACTGGCCAGCTGTGTGACACTCAAACAACATTCTATCCACTTGGGAGCTCTCAAAGGCCGCCCTTCCCAAAGCTGGTTTCGTACAGTTTCAAATTATCTCAAAGGATGTTGCAAAATTCTCAGAAACATCTTCAAGCAAAATAAACTTTAATTTTCCTTAACTAAGAAACAGAAGTGTATGTTTCAAAGAGACTGTGTCATGAAATAAAAATGAACCATAAAATTGCAAGTTCCAGAAAAGTGAAAACTTTGAAAGAAAACTGAACGTTGATTTCTTAGACTTGCCATTAAAGGCCTTTACATTTGGTGGGGGTGGAGGGGGGACGGTGACATCTTAAAGAACTCTTCAGATTGGTGTATATGTGTACTTCGTTCTTCCTATAGAGCTGTGGTCGACAAACTGTTTTCTACAAAGGGCCAGATAATAAATATCTTACGCTTTGTGGGCTATATGGTGTCTGTGGCAACTACTCAACTGTACACAAAAGCAGCCTTGGATAATAAGTAAACAAATGGATGTGGCTATGTTTCAATAAAACTTTATTTACAAAAACAGGTGATGGGTGGGATTTGGCCCATGGGTCACAGTTTGCTGTCCCTTGCTACAAAGTGTTCCAAACACATAACAGCAGCAGATGACAGTAACGGGTATTTTAAGTTGCACCTAGTGACACTCGGGAGAACAGAACCCACACCTCAATGTATCTACTCTGAGCTCTTGATAGAAACTGGTCAATGAATGACCTTTTTTCACAAAACAAATAATGCAGTACAAAAGAGTATCTTTTTAACCTAGGCCCAGTTAAAAACTGAATATTACACCAGACTGAGTCCAGTACAATTAGATGGTGCCTGGCTACCACCACTGACTGCTCTGACAGGGATCACAATAGAGGGTCCTGGACAGAGCTGGAGAAGAATGAAGAACAAAATTCTAACTCACAAAAAAGACCAGACTTACTGGCCTGACAGAGACTAAAGAAGCCCCAAGAGTATGGCCCCCAGACACCCTTTTAGCTCAGTAATAAAGTCACTCCTGAGGTTCACCGTTCAGCCAAAGATTAGACAGGCCCATAAAACAAAATGAGATTAAAGGGGCTGACCAGCCCAGAGGCAAGGACTAGAAGGCAGGAGGGAACAGGAAAGCTGGTAATGGGGAGCCCAAGGTCGAGAAGGGAGAGTGTTGACATGTCATGGGGTTGGTAACCAATGTCCCAAAACAATATGAGTACTAATTGTTTAATGAGAAGCTAGTTTGTTCTGTAAAACTTCATCTAAAGTACAATTTAAAAAAAAAAAACAAAAAAAAAAAAAACTGAATTTTAAATGTAGATAACACTGCTTTAAGACTGAGAAGACATAAAAAAAATTTTGCCCTATTTTGTTTTATGATGAACACTGATGGAATAAAAGCATAGAACTGAACCCCCATTCTCTCTTTAAAAAGGATTTAATTTAAATCAGGAGAAATTATGCTACTTACCCGGGACAAAATACTTTCTAAAGACTCTGTTAAAGATCTCTTTGCTTTGTTTTTCAGCATATCTAGCCTAAATCGAGTGGCACTAGGCGGTAAATCACTTCCAATATTCTCTGCTACGACCTGTGATGTCTGAAAAAGCAAAATAATGAAGCGTTAAGTCAGGTTTTTCTTCTTTTCCTTTCTTTTTTAAGGGGATGAAAAATCCCTAGGGTGCATCTTTTTGACACCAGGCTATTATGCTGATTCTGTCTGTTATCTCATTTCATTTGCTCCTTAGTGACATGGCTTACAAATCCTAAAACTAATTCTGCCTCAAAGAGTTGCTTTGGCTACCCCAAACAAAATGAGGAAATGTGCTTTGAAACCAATCTGTTAAAGTAGTTTAAAGCCTGGACTCTGGAATCAGATTAGATATCTGTCATTTACTAAATGTGACCTTGTACAAGTTACTGACTTTATCTGCACCTCAATTTCCTCTTTGTAAACTGAGACCAACAGTAGTATCTAATTGTAACACTACGTTATTAGAATATAACAGGTAAAGTATGTAAAGCATTGAGCACAGCTCCTGGTACAGGAGTAACTAGTATTAGCTTTTCAAAATAAAGTAATAACTTCCCTTTCGGGGCATTTCAGAGAGTGAGACAAAATCAATTTATCCAGTGAAAAATCCACTCTACACTAATTCCTTCATCTCTTTCTATGGAGCTCTTCTCTTGCACTTCTACTGTTTTCATCATACCCTTCATTCTCCTCTGCTCCCCAACTTCTCTCCCTTAACTGACCATAACATGAAACTCAACAGATAATGGAGTTTCGATATTTTCCAACCACTAAATGAAGTACAAGGAGGTATAGTTTTTTAAAAAATTGCAACAAACATCTAAATTCAATTGCTTCTTACTCATATGGATTCTCACCTGAGTGTTTCCTGCTGGACAATGATTTTGTTAGACAAACATTCAAGCAAACAAACCTCCACCATTACTCTAAACACCAACATAATTTGTTTTTGTTGTTGTTAAATATTTCAAGCATTCAGAAAAGTGTAGAGACTAATACAAAAAATATCTTTGTACCCACCACCCAGCTTCGGCACAGTGAGCATTCTGACAGGTGTTGAAGGGCCCTGGTGGCACAGTGGTTAAGCGCTCGGCTGCTAACCGAAAGGATGGCAGCTAGAACCTACCTGCTGCTCTCCAGGAGAAAGACGTAGCATTCTGCTTCAGTAAGATTTACAGTCTTAGAAACCCTATAGGGCAGTTATACTCTGTCCTACGAGGTTGCTACGAGTTGGAATTGACTCAAGGCTGTCGGTTTGGTTTTGGTTAGTGAACAGTGAGGGACACAGATTCTGGAGCTCCATGTCCAGGCAAAATGCTGGCTTGGCTGTTTCCTAGCTGTGTGCCTGGGCAAATTATTACCTATTGTTCCTCTCAGTTCCTCCACCTACAGATGGAGGATGCACAATGAATTTTCCTCACAGAGTCACTGTGAGATTTAATTACACATAAAGCACTTAGAACATACCTGGCACTAAAAAAAATGTCACCAATCATAGTTACTTACCACGAGGGCAAGGGCAGAATTTTTGTCTTCCGTGGGGGAGACCCAGGTTCAATTCCCAGTCAACATCCCTCATGCGCAGCCACCACGCGTCAGTGGAGGCTTTTGTGTTGCTCTGATGCTGAACAGGTTTCAACAGAGCTTCCAAACTAAGATGAATTAGGAAGAAGGCCTGGAGATCTATTTTTGAAAATTAGCCTAATGAAGACCCTATGGATCACAATGGTCCAATCTGCAACTGATCATGAGGATGGTGCAGGACCAGGTAGCATTTCATTCGATTGCGCATGGGGTCCCCATGAGTCAGGGGCTGACTTGACGGCAGCTAACAACAACAACATGGTTATTAACTATTACATTTGTCTCCTACTTTTAATAAGAAACAAAAATGACAGCCATCTTTGAAGCCTCCTGGACACCACTCTCCCTCACTCCATCCACAGAAATAATCATTCTCCTGAATTTGGGGTTGATCCTATCACTTCCTGTTTCACATTTGTACATATCTGTTATGTTTCCATTAAACATATGTATTGGTTTACATGCAGTTAAAACTTTAAATGAATGATATCATACGGTACATAGCTTTCTTTTTGAATTGTGTTTTTGCTATGGATCCCTGCTGACAGCTGTTCTTTGGCTCACTCACTTCAACCAGAGTACAACGTTTCACTGCACAATTATAACACGATTCATTCATGTTCCCGTTATTAAGCATTTATTTCTTTTTCTTTTTTCATTTCTATAAATTAGACTGCAGTGACATCTCTTGTACACATCTCCTCATGCACACATATGAAAGTTTTTGCAAGGAAAATAAATAGGAATGTCCTTGCTCGGTCACTGGGTTTATGCATTTGCAGCTATACTAGATGTTGTCAAGTTGCTCTCCTAAATGGTAACAATCCATACTCACAGCAGCAGCATAGGAGAATTCATCTTTACATGGTATCATCAGATTTTTAAAATTTCTGCCAACTGATGGGTGTGAAATGGTCTCTCATTTTAATTTGCCTTTCCCTGATTCCTACTGAGATTGAGGATTTTAGATTTGTTCACTTATCTGCCATCCAAACATCCTACATCTTCTTTGAATTCGTGAAATGTTAATTCACCAATGAAGGTTATTCAACACATTTTCAAGGCATAAAAGAGAAAGATTCTGATAATAGGTACAATTGGCTTTGTCCAATCATCTATAGCTCTACTTGCATGAGAGTTAGCACATGCATTAAAACAATGATTTGTTTTTGTTGTTAAATGGTCCCTGACTCATGGTAACCCCATGTATGACAGGATTTGACCGTTGCGATCCATAAGGTTTTCACTGGCTGATTTTCAGAAGTGGATCACTAGGCCTTTCTTCCTAGTCTGTCTTAGTCTGGAAGCTCTGCTGAAATCTGTTCGGCATCATTGCAACACGTAAACCTCCACTGACAGATGGGGGTGGTAACTATGCTTGAAGTGCATTTGCCAGGAATCAAACCTGGGTCTCTGGCACACAAGGTGAGAAATAGCTTAGAAATTCCTTTAAGAAAGGAGATTATCATTTAAATTTGTATTTTCATAGTTCTGAGCATACTCTATAGACACTTCATTTTTGCTTGCTGAGAAATGAATCAGCTATGACCACCAGGCAGGCCCATCCCATGGGAAACACATGCCCGAGGTAACATAAAGACTCACTCAACAAATACTAAGTTCTTGCTACACATTATGCACGACAGGTAGGTGCCTTGCTAGCTGCAATTTGTCCTGCACAATCATTTACCAAGAACAGAGCTTGTCCAGACTTGAGGCAGCCTCCAGGGCAAAGGGGATTAGCCACAAAGGGCCCACAAGGCCTGCCTCCCACTTGACGCCAGTTTACTCACAAAGTGAAAAAGCTGGGGACTTGCTTTCAAGCTCATAATTAAAGTTTTCAAAAAACAGAAGCAAATTGAGTTGACTGGTTTAAAAAACAGAAAAGATATTGGCTTAGAGATTAAAAAAAAAAATGGCGTCAGATAGCAGATCCTGTATACCCACAAGAAAAACTGTTTTGTTTTGTTTATCGGGCCATAAGAATCTCTGAACACTTAATTAAATGCTTCTTCTAGTCTCCTCTACAACCTAAAAGGATCTTTCTATGTCTATTGCCATAATATGGAATCCTCATAAGAAAAATTCACATTTAGAAAATAATATATTCATGTTTACCTTAAAATAAGTATCTAAAAATTTCTCCTTTGAGGATGAGGTTGGTGCTTAGATAAGTTTGCAATGTGGGGACAGTATAGTGAATTATGGAGTCCTTGGGTGGTGCAAACAGTTAAGCACTCAGCTGTTAACACAAAGGTTGGAGGTTTGAGTTCACCCAGAGGTGCCTTGAAAGAAAGGCCTGGCAATCTACTTCCAAAAAATCAACCATTGAAAACCCTATGGAACACAGTTCTACTCTGATACACACGGGGCCATCATGAGATGGAACCAACTCACAGCAACTAGAAAAAAAAAGTGAATTATGGAAGGAAGACCTAGTGATCTACTTCCGAAAATCAGCCAATGAAAACCCTACGGATCACGACGGTCCGATCATGGAGATGGTGCAGGACTGGACAGTGTTTCACTCCATTGTGCATGAGGTCGCCATGAGTCAGGGGCCGACTCGACAGCAGCTGACAGTATCAACATAGTGAATTATACTGCAGTCGCTATACTGCCCATCCCTCCACAGACGGATGAACTCTTAAGCATGAAAGTCTGGAGCCAAGTTTTCAATTCAGATGTTACACTGAAGTTCTCAGCTCAGAATCCATCTTACTTGTGTTGTCAAAACTTATCTTTTATAGCAGTTTTATTCATAATAGCCAGAAACTGGAAGTATCTCAGGTATTCATCAACAGAAGAATGGATAAACAAACTTAGGTATTAATACATGGAATAAAAATGAATGAACTACTGATACATGTAACAACATGGATAAATAGCAAAAACTGTATCCTAAGTGAAAGAAGGCAGGACTAAAAGAATACATACTATATGATTCCATTTATAAGAAGTTCTAGACTAGGCAAAAATTAATCTATTGTGAAACAAACCATCAGCTGCCTGGCACAGTGTGGCGAGAGTTGTGGGGAGGATTCAGAAAGGAATGGGGTGGAGGGCACTTTCTGGTGCGATGGAGATGTTCTGTGTCTCAATAGGATCTTGGGCCACGTGAATGTATGCGTGCCTCAAAATTCATCAAATGTACACTTAACTATTTCTGCAACCAACTGCGTGTGAATTTTTTCTTAAAAAACAAAAAAATATTAAATTCTAGTGAAAGATATGCATGCTGAAGTGTTAGGGATAAAGAGTACTGGTATCAGAAACGTACTCTGGAAGGCACCAAAAAATAAGATGTAATGATAGATGCGTAGACATGTGACAAAACACCTGTAACAAAATGCTAAAAATCACAAAATCCAGGTGGTAGGTACATGAGTATTTACTGCACATTTTTTCAACTTTTCTGTATGTCTGAAATTTTTAATAAAATATTATTTAAAAAAAGAAATACCTATTTACTAGACTATAGACCTAGGCTAATCAATAGATAGTTATATAACATTAAATTTTGTTAGGCTCCTAAAAAATAATCATTAAGACAATATCCTTAGACCTTAGACAAACTGGCTCCACCACTTACTAGCAAAGTGCTTAACCTGTTCTCCATTTCCTTGTCTCTAAAATGGGTACACTACCACCTAGCTCAGAATCTGGACTAAATGGAATAATTCATGTAAAGCACTTACAGCCATATCTAGTAATATTCTGGAGCCCTGCTGGCATAGTGGTTAAGAGTTCAAATCCACCAGCTGCTCCTTGGAAACCTTACTGGGCAGTTCTATTTTGTCCTATAGGGTTGCTATGAACAGGAACCGACCCAGCGGCACCTGATGACAAAGAACGAGTAATATTCTGGCAAATATCTGATAGATGGCAGTTGACTTAATACTATTAACTTTTGTACCAGCTCTGTGACTACAAATAGAAATGATATGTCCCTTGACTAAAACGTGACACTCTCTAGCTTTAATTAGCTTATAGGCCTTTGCCCAATCTGAATCCTTTTCCATAAGATCAAAGGTTTCATTCCTTTTTTTTTTTCTAATTTACAGAAAATAACTCCTTTGATAGTTATCTGGCACAATCATTTTGTCTTTGAAAAGTATGCACGGTGTCACTGCTGATTTGAGGAGCTCGGTGCTCATTTTTCTCGGTCCACTTTGAAGGCCAGTGGCCAGTAAAGTTCACTGTCAAAGCCATGGTTCTACCTCTGCCCAAGTTACATCATAACATATTTTCAAAGGCTACAGGAAATTTCAGGTGAAACAAGAAGTTAATGAAATCTATGTGATTAAACTATCTAAGAGCAGAAAAATGAGAGCAGGAATCTACTGGTGAATCTCAAAGCTTCATATGACTAACTGGCTGCTGCTCTGGCACCCAGCCTGGGGGATGCCCGGCCACATCGGGGATCAGGGTAACATCTCTCCAGACAGATGGGAGCCCGCTGGGTTAGAGCGTTCAGGACCTGGGGAAAGCTCTGTGCAGAGGTCAGTTCTGCTCTGTGAACCTCAGTAACTTTGACATTAAATTCTCTGATGTTTTGAAAATGGAAAAAAATCCATTAAATATATTTCTCCATTGGACTAATACATGCCAAATCATAAAGCTATCACCCTGTTCTACAAAAATGAGCCCACATTTACGTCAAATGTTTAATAAAAGAACAGTTTCCATCCACCATCAAGGCTTCATTTCCCTTTCTAATAGTTATAAATTATTTCAAAACGATCATTTTCCTGTTGGAACAAGTCAGACCAACATAGGAGAAAGAAAATCAGAATAGGGAAAAAGCTACTAGTGGGCCCCCACCCAAAAAAAATAAAGGGGGGGGGGGTGGAAGAGAAAAAAGAACGAGACTGAAAGGAGAACTAGTGAATTAACTGAAAACTTAGACTGGGGGGCTGGCATATTCAAAAGTGAACAGGAGAGTCCAGGCTAGAGGGAGAGGAATTACAACTCATAGTACCCAAAGGCCAAAAACACAGACAACACTGGCCTTAGGTCACTGCTGACAGACTCTACAGCTGGGCAAAGAGATAAAAACAATGTCGGATACTACGTGGGCTCTAAGAGTTCAAAAAAGCACATAATTGCCATAGCCAGCTCAGATGAAGAAATCGAATGAGCAGAGTTGCTATGTGTATGTTCAGGTAAAACTGCATCATGAGAGGTTACCAGAAGAATAAAGGGCTGAATGTATGGAAGAGAGCAAGGGTGAGACACACTACTGAGCATTTAGAATAAGCCTTTAGAATGAGCATTCAACAACAAGTGTTAATTAAAAAAAAAAAAAAAACGCAATATACTTTAGGAAAACTGAGGAATTTTCATATCCTTCACTGACTTTTCTTTAGATTTTCTGGCCAGAGGTAGTCTTAGTAAACACAAATGCACATGGTTTGAAGCTATAATGGTTTATTATAAATTGGCTCACACAGAGTCCAAAAGACATAGGAAAATGGCCCATGGTACCGTGTATACTGACTTCCAAGCCTGAGGCTCTTTGGTGGCAGAGATTTGCAGGGAGCCCCAGCTTCTGACATAGAGCCCCATGAGCAGAAAATTTAAATAGAGTTTATAGACAGTAGAGGGTGGCAGGCGTACTCTGTAGCTCCATTATGCAAAATGGAATTAATGGAAATTCTCTATCTGAATAACAGATAAATCAGGCTTTCTAATATTGTATCTGATTTCTCAGTAATACTGTCTTACATTCACATAGCATTTCTATTACAAATAACTTTCAGGCACTTTATAATTCCAATGATACAATGTTATTTCCGTTTTACAAGGGAGGAAGGTGAGGTGCCTGAGACCGGCTTCCTACAGTCCGTGTAGCTCATGGTGGCAGTAGCCAGTTCTTTAAAATTTGTTCTTGGCACTCTAAGCCACCTCCACTAAGATGTGGACAGAAACTTCTCCCATCTTCTCCAGGCACAATTTAAACATCCCCACATTTACCCTACACATGCAACAAATTTAAATAAAACACAGAGGAAAAGATGTTTCAGAGCTTCATATAACCCTCAAGACTCTGCTTATACAGTGTATGGGTAAAAATTATGAGAAGAGACAAAAAAGCCATACCTGCTTTATCTCCCCAATATGAACATGATCTTTTTGTTTCTCTTCATATAAACATCTCAAGAAAGAAATAATCAATTCATTCTCTCGCTGCTCATTTCTTGGTCTCAATTTCTTTAAAAACAAAAACAAAACCCCAATATATTACATTTATTTTTAATTGTCAACAAAACTGCTAATTATCGCTTTGGACATGCTAATAGCTTCCACCCATCCATTAACTAGTGATTTTACCCAATCATCTCACTAGGGGGCACCAACGATCCTAAAAGTGCACATAATTTTAACAAAGAACAGGCACTCAGGCTAGTGGGTCAGCTTTAGCTTTCGATCTCTGCCGTCCTTATAACCAACATAAATATTTTATATCAGATAGAGGCCTAGTAAAAATATTTAATAAATAAATAGTTTTAAAAACAGAAGGAAAGATCAAAATCTGTGTAAACACTCGGAGGTCAAGAGCCATCACAACTACACATTTATAAACTTTTATGGTTAAGGGAACTGGAAAGAAAAACAGCAACTGAATTCAGGGTCATGGTCCCACATGTAAAATGCAGCAGTCATGAAGTACTTTGTGGAAGCCTCATGACACATGTACTTCCACACAAAATATCATGGCAGGCAACTCAATTTCTTTTCCCTTTTCTTTTTTCCTTAAATTCTATGCCTTTTCTTTTTCAGACAGGGTAGTGGCAAAGCACACACCGGACTATAAATCAGGACATCTAGGTTCTAGTTGTTGCCTACAAGTGACCAAAGGCAAGTCATTGAATCTTAGCTTCCTCATCTGTTAAAGTGAGGATTATAATGAAATCAACTCCAAGGTCTCCTCCCCTCCAGCTCTTGAATTCTTTGGATTTGAGACATCCAGTCAGAGTCAGTTTTTAAAAGACCATCTAATTTAATATGTAATTTTCTCTGAATATGGAAACAAAACTGAATTAGTCTGGAGATACACCGAAGCGTCTAGTCTATAAGCTTTGAACATACGCCTTCTTTACTGGCGATTATCCATTTCCCAGCTCTTCCTCTTTCCCTATCCGGAACGTCTAGCCTGCCCTTTAAAAAAAAGTCAGGGTGTCATAAAGGGACTTGAGTCTTGGTCAACGCCATTCCTGGCAACGTGCTTCCCCATCTAACTAAGGAATAATGATTGTTTCCCTCACATCACAGGTACTAGAAGCAAAGGTAACACCAACCCAGGCCTTCTGGCATTTCTTCTCCTAAAGAAAACAATCATCTTAAAAGTTAAGTTGCTCCTGTTACACAAGGAAAAACAGTAAATGATTAGAAGGGATTGTTTTCATTAAGGACTTCTGTTCTTTCAAATTTTAGATTCAAGGATTAAACATTTTAGAGGCCAGAGCAGAGGCTGTCGACCTGGATTTCAGGCCACGAACCCTGATACTATAAAATGTTCCAGATGTTATATGCAAAAAGTGCATTTGTCCAGACACAGTTTCCATCAGATACTCAAATAAGGAAAGAGATAGTCAAGTACCACAATCCTGATTTCACACTGCTAGATGGAAGAAGATGGAAGGAATACGCAGCGTCACTATACCAAAAAGAATTGGTCGATGTTCAACCATTTCTGGGGGTAGCACATGATCAGGAACTGATGGTACTGAAGGAAGAAGTCCAAGCTGCACTGAAGGCACTGGCGAAACACAAGGCTCTGGGAATTGATGGAGTATCAATTGAGATGTTTCAACAAACAGATGCAGCATTCAAAGTACTCAACTCATCTACGCCAAGAAATTTGGAAGACAGCTACCTGGCCAACAGACTGGAAGAGATCCATATTTATGCCTATTCCCAAGAAAGGTGATCCCACAAATGCAGAAATTATCAAACAATATCATTAATACCACACGCAGGTAAAATTTTGCTGAAGATAATTCAAAAGCAGCCGCAGCAGTATATCGACAGGGAACTGCCAGAAATTCAAGCCAGATTCAGAAGAGGACCTGGAACCAGGGATATCATTGCTGATGCCAGATGGATCCTGGCTGAAAGCAGAGAATACCAGAAAGATGTTTACCTGTGTTTCACTGACTATGCAAGGGCATTCGACTGTATGGATCGTAACAAATTATGGATAACACTGCAGAGAGTGGGAATTCTGGAACACTTAAACTGTGCTCATGAGGAACCTGTACATAGATCAAGAGGCAGTCGTTCAAAAAGAACAAGAGGATACTGCATGGTTTAAAGTCAGGAAAGGTGTACGTCAGGGCTGCATCCTTTCACCATACCTATTCAACCTGTATGCCGAGCAAATAATCCGAAAAGCTGGACTATATGAAGAATGGGGCATCACAATTGGAGGAAGACTCATTAACAATCTTTGTTACGCGAATAACACAACCTTACTTGCTGAAAGTGAAGAGGACTTAAAGCACTTACTGATGAAGATCAAAGACCACAGCCTTCAGTATGGATAACACCTAAACATAAAGAAAACAAAAATCCTCACAACTGGACCAATAAGCAATATCATGATAAACGGAAAAAAGACTGAGGTTGTCAAGGATTTCATTTTACTTGGATCCACAATCAACACTCATGGAAGCAGCAGTCAAGAAATCAAAAGATGCATTGCGTTGGGCAAGTCAGCTGCAGGAGATCTCTTTACAGTGTCAAAAAGCAAAGATGTCACCTTGAGGACTAAGGAGCGCCTGACCCAAGCCATGGTGTTTTCAATTGCCTCAGATGCATGTGAACGCTGGACAATGAATCAGGAAGACCGAAGAAGAATTAACGCCTTTGAACTGTGGTGTTGGCAAAGAATATTGAATATACTATGGACTGCCAAAATAACGAACAGATCTGTCTTGGAAGAAGTACAACCAGAATGTTCCTTAGAAGCAAGGATGGCGAGACTACATCTCACATACTTTGGACATGTTGTCAGGAGGGATGAGTCCCTGAAGAAGGACATCATGCTTGGTAAAGTAGAGGGTCACCTAAAAAGAGGAAGACTCTCAAGGAGCTGGACTGACACAGTGGCTGCAACGATGGGCTCAAGCATAGCAACAATTGTGGAGATAGTGCAGGACCAGGTAGTGTTTCGTTCCGCTGTGCACAGGGTCGCTATGAGTCGGAACTGACTTGATGGTACCTGACAACATACAGTGCTGTCTAAATAAAAAAGAAAACCTACATTAGGGGAGGGATGTGCACCTTGCTTGCTAGAAAGATGTTCCTTAAAGTGACCTGACAGCACTAGAACAACAAGCAGGTTGTTGGCACTGGATGGAAAAGGCCAGGTTTTAACTGTAAGTGCATTAACAGTCGGAAGCAAATTCTCTGTCCATTTCTGAATTCCAAGTACAAAGCACATTAAATTTGTATAAGATCATTGTGTACACAGAACTCTAAAGATGCTTCAAAAAAAAACAAAGCAGTATGTCTCAAGTTGATTCAGAAGAAAATTTAAAGGCCAAATGAGGGAGATAATGTGACAATTACCCTCCAGGCTATTTGTGAAATGAAATTTTCTACGCTTTCTCTCTAAAAACTGTATCAATTCTATCGTAGAAGAGAAACAGCGAATAAGAGAATTCAAACTTCGTCAAGATTACGGCCTACAAACCCTATGGGGCAGTTCTACTCTGTCATGTGGGGCTGCTGAGTCGAAATCGTCTCCCCAGCACCTAACGATGAAAAACTTGTGATTAAAAAGAAGAAGGTAATCGTTTGATTTCTTTACACTAGCAGCAAACAGATCATGGACTCCATCTGCATAGTGTCTCCCCCAAGGAGGAAGAAGAGAGCACTTAAATCCACTGAGTTTCTATCATTTTTGTTTTTAATGACCCTTCTATTTGTTGAACTCCTAAGCCCACCCCACTCCCAATAAAAAGATATTTATTCTTTGTTCTGATGTGTTCTCCCTAGCAAAGTGCCAGGAAACCGTAGAAAACGCCCCTCAGCTAAGGTAGACGTGAAATCTTTTATGAACTCAGTGAAGAATCACAGGGAACAGACTACAGGCATGCCAGCAGATGCAGCGAGGTCTCCCCAAGATACGCTGCATCTAAAGGATGAGAGTTAATTTCTAGGTATTCGTGCAGAAAGCCAATGAGCTTGGGTTTTTTTCTTTTCTTTTTTAGGTTGATACACTATATGCATTCAGCAGATAACATGAGCTAAATTTATTTTCAAAACAAAACAAAAAATGAAGAGGAACAATTATGTTCAGTTTCACATAGAAAACATTGCCTCCTTCGACTCCCACATTTAGGGCTGAATTTCTGAATGGACAGTGGCTGCAGAGGTTTCCCATTGAGCAGACAAGCGTATGTCGGCCAGCATCAGGTCTCCTGTCCTCCAGAGTAGTGTGGTCTCTTATGGATTGAACTGTGTCCCCCCAAAATATGTGTTGAATTCCTAGCCTTATACCTCTGGATGTGATCCTGTTTGGAAATTGGGTTTTTCTTGTGTTATGTTAATGAAGTCTGACCAGTATAGAAAGGATCCTAAACCTAATCACTTCTGAGTTATAAAAGACCAGAATAGACAATGTCTCTTTCTCTCTCACACACACACCCACAGGGTTGGGGAGCAGACACCATACGAGGATCATCTATAAGCCAAGCAATGTCAAGGAGGCAAGGAGAGCCTGAGGCTTCCAACAAGGAAGGAATTGACACCTCCAAGACCCTGATTTGATCTTATAGCCTCCAGAACTGTGAGAAAATTAATTTCTTTTCTTTATAGCCACTCAATTGTGATATTTGTGCTACAGTAGCACTGTAACTAAGATAGGCTCTTTCCACTATACAATTTCCTTTCCCTGGTTCTAAAATATTTCTTTCAAGCTTTTTAGGAAGAGGCTTCCCCGTTTTAGTCACTTTCGCCATGAAAGCTGAGATGGGACTCTGCCATTCTGACCTGTCCCCTGTGCAGGGGCTGCTGAACGTAAACCAAGAGGAACTCAGTGCTGCCTCCTCAGGTGTTACAACGGCACCAGTTTGCTATTTTTCAGAGATAACATTTCACGGGTAAGCTGCCTGCCTTCTTTCCTTCTGGAAATTAAAAACAAGTACTGTACCTGAACTTCCTCAAAAATAGTTGCTTGCTCCTGGTTAGTTAATGTTGTCAGATGTTTCTGGAGTTCTAGTTTGGTTTTGGAAGTATTCATTCCTATTAAGAAATGAGAAAAAAAGAGAGACGTGAAAATACTCTATGTAAAAGTTATCAGGTAGAGTGAACACCTTCCATACACAGTCCCTTTACATCCTTACCTGCCTTACTTCTTGCCATTACACAGCATCTCAACTTGCTTCAGGCTTTCAAGATTTTATGGAAATTCTAATCAATAATGATGATGATAACAACTAACACTTTTTAATTGAGCCCTTATGTACTATGCACCATATTAAGTATTAGGATATTATTCTACTTAATTCTCAAAACAACCTGATGAAGTGCATTCTATTATCCCCATTTTACAGTTAAGGAAACTAGAAGCCCAGAGAACTTAATTTCCAACCACACCAACCGGGACTCTACTTCATGTTTGTCTGATTCCAAATTACTTTCTTCCCCACATTCTGGGTTTAAACACCTCACACCATGAGAACACTGTCCTCAGAAAGTAATAAATTCTCATGGAGTCCTTACGAAAAACACGACAACTTCTTAAGGAAAACATAACCACTGCCAAAAGAATGAACAAATCTGTCTTGGAAGAAGTACAACCAGAATGCACCTTAGAAGCAAAGATGGCACAATTACATCTCACATACTTCGGACATGTTATCAGGAGGGATCAGTCCCTGGAGAGGGACATCATGCTTGGTAAAGTAGAGGGTAAGAGGAAGACCCTCAACAAGATGGACTGACACAGTGGCTGCAACCACGGGCTCAAGCATAAGAACGACTGTGAGGATGGCACAGGACAGCGGTGTTTCATTCCGTGGGACGTAGGGTCGCTATGAGTCGGAACCAACTCGACAGCACCTAACAACAACTGGGCAGTTTGAAAACTGACCAACATTTTTCTCTTGCATGTTAGGTTTCCTTCACATAAAACTGACTCATTTGGCTAATGATTTTCCTTTTACTGCCACATGTTTACTATTCTTAAAACCGTTCAATTAACATTATGAAGAGTTGAGAAAAAGTTGTAACAATAAAGTCACGATGTTTAGTGCCTGTTACAATTTGATATATTAAAAAGTTCCTTTCCACACATATATGATTCACACTCTGTTTTGCCTTTTCTTGGTATTATGGATTAAATTGTGTCCTTCCAAAACATGTGCTGGAATTCTAATCCCTATACCTATGGATGTAATCCTGTTTGGGAACAGGGTTTTCTTTCCCGTGTTAATGAGGACATATCAGTGTATGGTGTGTTCTAAACCTAGTAACTTCTGAGTTACAAAAAAAGCAAATTAGACACAGAAGCAGGCACAGACGGGGGAAACAGACGCTATCTGAAGACAAGGGAGGCAGATCCATGTACAAACCAAGGAACTCCAAGGATTGTTGGCTACTAGAAGCTGAAACAGACAAGGAAGAACCTTCCCCCAAGAGCTACATGCTGAATTCAGACTTTTAGCCTCCTGAACTGTGAGAAAACAAATTTATGTTCTTTATAGCTACCCACTTGTGGTATGTCTGTTACAGCAGCACTAAGGAAAAAGACACTTGGATGACCAGAGGTAAACATTACACATGCTGAGAAGATTCAGAATGAAAGGATTTGCTGACCAACCACCATGGATACGGCTGCTGGTTACTTTTATTCCAAGTGTAGTCCTGCCCTCAGCCATCTGCCACTGTCTTTTCCTTGTCCCCAGCGGGTGGGCTGCTGGGCAGGGGTGTGGTAAAGGCTCTGAGCTGGAGAACAGTGTCACATACACCTACATAACTAAGGATGACCAGGAGTGCAGCCACAGGCAGAAACAAAAACACCTGCAGAGATCAGCACAGAGGAGCCCGGGAGCCACCCAGCCGCAGCCAGTGACTTACCCACAGAAGAAACAGGGACCTCAAAAGCGTGACTTTCATTCTACAGATGAGTTTAGCGAGGTCTAGAGAGGTGACAGGGCTCGTCAAAGGTCAGGAAGCCAATCAGCCAATGCCCCCAGAGTCAACGCACCTCCCTTCCTTCCACTGCAGTTAAGGCGTCCCTCCTAACAGGGCTGCCTGGGACAGAGGCTGCTGCCCCTACTCAAGCCATTGCTGCTATCTTGGCTCCCACAAAGTTGTTGGGTTTTTTTTTTTTTTTAAACCGAGAAAATTCTAAGAGGCCACCATAAAAATAACAGCCAACATTTCCTAAGTGATTGGTATGCCACTTTGCTCAACACTTTACCTGCACTATCTCATTTAATCCTCAAAAT